ATGCTTGAATTAATTAAATAGAATTTTTCATAAAATATTTAATTTCTTAATTGTTATAAATTATGGTTTATTTGTTGGAAAGCTTGATTTATTGTAGACTCCAAGCATGATGAATGTTTGTGATCTATAAATAAATTCCTAAATTTTTTCAACTAATTTATTAATTATACTTTTGATGTTTTCAATATTATTACTACTAAATATTCTAATTAAGATAACTCCTCGACTGATTCTCAATTGAGTTCAAAGACCGAATCATTAATAATTGTTGTGTGAAATTGAAAGGGTATCTTCGATACTTTAGTATTTTCTCATATTGTTTTAAAACCAATTTTATTCTTTTCCAAATCTCTACAATAAATTTTCAAAACAATTTTTCTTTTATTTTCCTTGTGTTCTAAGTTTTGTATAGTTTCCTGTGGTTCGACCTTAGAACAGTTTCTTGTGAGGGTGGAGATGTTTGTTCCCTATAGTTGACCGATACAATATCTATCTCCCAAGGAAAGTCTGTTTCTTCGTATAAGCCATTGAATCCGAATTGAGATTGCCCTTACATCCCTTCATTCGAGTTGTTCTTCGCTTTTTCACCTATGTCCTACTAGGATGTCTCCTAATGGTCGGGGTTTGTTGATTGTTTTTTTGGTCTTTTGGCTAGATAATGGCCTTGGTTTCGCCCTTACTATTTCCAAACTTTTTCAGTTTTTGCACCTCAAGTGTTCTCCATCCAATGGTTTCTTCTATTTTGCCAAGTGAGTCAAGCCAGATATCCTAATTGTTGGGACTTTGACTTTTCACAAAGGTTGGAAATAAATTTTTTTTTTCCGTCTCAGGCGATGCTTGGAAGTTGAGGGGGATCTTTCAAAGTCTCTCCAAGTCCTTCGGTTATGGGATGACCCTAAGAATTTGGGTGAGTTTGGTGTAGATGGGGTATTTTACCACTATTCTTATCTTCTATTATTGCTCCTGGCCTATCTTTATTTTGACTTATAGGGCATAGACCCATATTGACTTGATCTGAATGGATTTGAGTGGTCCTTGCTAGGAGCTCATAACTCCTAAGAATCTTGCTAAGCACAACCTCGGCCCCAAGGTGCCAAAGGAGCTTCCTAGCCCAACACGTGAGGGTCTTCAAATTGAGCAACATTTCTTTGGTAGGCTTTCACATCTTGTTTTATTCCTTTTCTTACTTCAATAGTGACACTAACACTTTTGCTTCTTCAGATCTGTCTTCTATGGCCCCTGAAAAAGACTTGGTGAAAGAGGCAATGGCCATAAGAAAAGAGTTTAGGAAGGGCGGTGGGTCTAGGACCAACAAAAAAAGGCGCTTGGTGACGGTTGGCAAGACTGATCTACTTCTTAGCACCGACCTCCCTTTGTCTAATGCGGTCAATCCCATGGACCGTCCTCCAACTTAGGATAATGAGCTTGAAGTTACTCCTCTAGGAAGATAAGAAAACCTCATTGTGGATCCATCTTCAGAGGTTAGGGTTACCAAGGAGATCAGGGTTCCCCCAATAGAGGTTTTTAGGGTTGGTTCTTCGAACCCTGTGGCCCCAAGACCTCTTGGTCTGCCTTTTATTCCCATTCCGACTAAGGATCATTCCTTCCTCACTAATGATTCCTTGGCTGCCACCAAACTAGTGAGCATCCTCCCCAAGTCTGACATCCGTGAATCGATAAAGCTCAACACTAGTGAAAAGGCTTCCAATGCACTTTTATGCTCTCGTTGGGGTATGATGTTTTTGCTGTCTTTTTTGAAGCATTCAAATCTTAAGGTTTTTGCTTAGGTATTATTTTATGTTTAATCTACCATTCATGCCAGTGCACTTCTGGGCCAAACCCAAGTTTATGAGCAGCAGTTAGAGGAGAACATGGCAAGCTGGAAGCTGACAACAAAAAAATTGGACTTGTCCTCTCAAATGGATTCACAGAAATATCTGAGTAATCTCTCGAGGAGAAGCTGACTAATGAACCTAAGTTGAATGTTGTTAGCTAAAAAACTGGCCTTTTTTGTTTTTCCTTTTGAGAATATCGCTAAATTTATGAGGAGTCTAAGATGGCTAAAGAGCCTGTGGACAGAACGAGCTGAAGAAATGGGTTCTTAGGGGAGAGGTTTTCATTAAGAAGGTTTGCATGGCTGAGTTGATCTTTTACGGGTATTGATTAGCACAAAATATTGCATATCCTATGTACATTTGCACACCCCTTTTGTTCTTGCTTCTGCGGTGAAAATTAGAGATATTGCATTTTTTGAGCTATTAACGAAGTTTCGGAAGGTTTGCAAGTAAAAGGGTTTAAATGGTGCATGTAGGCCCCTATCATGGTGCTTAAGGTCAATAGAGATGCGGGGAAGACTTGATGATGGCTTGGGAGGTGAAAAAACCAAGAATTTAACAAAACAAGTTAAAACATACTGGTGGGTTTGTCATAAAACTACTGGTAGGTTTTGGCTACTGGAGTAAAACGTACCGATAGGTTTGGCCATCAACCTACCGGTAGGTTTTGCTGATGCTCTGCTACTTTGTGGGCTCGTCATTAATTCTCCCATTTGCTCCCTGACACCTCTTACACACAGACATGTCTCCTTAACCCTAGCCTTGGACTTTGAAGGCTTGAGCATAGATTGACATTGTATTGCATTATAGAGAGAGAAGCTCTAAGAAAGAAGATGAAGTTCTACAAAGAGAACTTGATATTTTTGTATTTTCTTTCATCCATTCACTTGTATTTTCTTGTAAAACTTGTGTAAGTTTCATTTAATGTCTTTAATGTCATTTATTACAAGTACATTTCAAGTTTAGTCTTACATTTTGGATTTCACCATTGTGATATTAAGTTTTCTTCATTTTCAAGCTTTGAAATGGGTATTGAATATTTCTCTTCATAGTTTATGTTTTCTTGCATTGAACTAAGTTTCAATCTTCATTTTTTTACAATGTCTCTTCTATGTCTTTGATTTAGATATGAGTAGATAAACTTTTAAGTTGGCTAATCCAAGGGAGAATTCCTCTTGGGTATGCCAAATCAACCCTTTTTCATTCCTCCTCGTAGTATTTGATGAATTGGTTTGACTAGGTTAAGTGTGGATGTGGTTATGAGTTCTTGATACATCATAGACTTGTCACGGGGTATGCTTGAATCCTCCTCTCCCTTTTAGTCCCGCACTTCCTACAAATCAGTCAAATATCAAGGCATTATTGGAGGAAGATCTTGAGTTGATTTGACATTGCCATTGGAATGACCTCTTCAGATTAGCCAATACTTGTTTTCATTTTATTTTCATAAAGAACACAATTAACCAAACCTCAAACATCAAAGATTTTTACACTTTACCCTTTTCACCAAAATCACCTTCACATAAATTCCTTCCTTCCCTAAGGAGACGATCTTGGAATATAAATTTCAAGTAAAACATGACTCTCGAAAGTCTCTTTACGCTTGGAGAGCGCTTTTGTTCACACACACACACACATTTCATTTTAGACACCCGTTTTTCCTTATCTTGCATCGAACCTAAGTGAGAGTGACACTTACCCACACATCTAAGTCATAGACACATTGAAGGTTCATGTTCAGAGATTAGGACATACGACGAAAAATGATTCAAGCAAGTATTGAAAAGTCGTTTTTGTGACGATTATGCCTTGTCTGCACAATTGCACCGTCTTGGAGTATGGCGTGCGCCTAGATTTGTAGGTCGTTCTAATCCCACAATGCCATGCATCTAGGATTTTTGGTGCATTTAATGCACACCCCGTCGCATTAATTCTCCCCTTGGAGGTGAACACCCAAAATGACAAAAAAATTAAACTCTTTCTTGTGATTCTACATACATTTGTCTCATTTTGTCACCTGATTTCACTTGTGATAAATCTCTGCGCGTGAGTGTTGTTGTAGTAGAGGAACCCTCTGTAACCTTTGTTTTCCTTCTTCAAGCTTACTTGGGTACATTCATTTGTCACCCCAGATCTTCTTTCTTTTCCTAACTTTGTTGGCATGGATGCGAACACAAACAATAGCTTACGTTGGATATTTTGCTTCTAACTGTAAGCAAAAAAGATGGGTCACATTTGTTAAAGTCAAAATGGTGATATTTTTGGGTTTGTCAATTTGGTTAAAGCCATTTGCCATCTGGGCTTGGCTCGGGATAAGGTTATGGTACCATAAAAAATGGTACTATATTAAATATTTTGATAATATATTTTAAATGTGAAAAAAGAATAATAAAATAAAAATATTTATATGGGTTACATTTATATTAAAAATATAATTGTTAAAAATAAAATTTTGATACTCTATCTCAGCGAAATCCAAAAAGTGAAACTAGTGAAGTCAACTCTGCTAGATGCCTATAAGAAGCATGTGAAGCAATTTTTATTTTTTTTAGTGAAAATTGATCATAACTAAATCTGGATATTTTTTTTGTCTTCTAATCTAGATATCGTACTTTTATGACATTAAATCCACGTTAACGCCCTTTTTTTTTTTCTAGTTTTATACTTCAATCTAATTTAATCATATTTTTTTAATCATCAATGTGCCTTTTAGTGACTCACGCTATTCAGTCCTCTCTTCTCTCTCTGTCTCTCTCATTGCTTTCTTTCTCCCTCTCACAAACACACACAACCCCAATTTCTACATGTAAAATCACAAATCTAGGATTTGGAGAAAAGAACAACCAATCAATCACAATGTCAAGTTTCTCATTTTCCACCACCATCGTCATCTTCGTCGTCTCTTTCTTTCGATTTCGAATCCTTAATTCATCTTTAGTGCCGGCTTTTTTTGCAACTTCTGCTCTATCCTTTTCTTCAGATTCAGCTCCTCTGTAACTACTAGTTCGCCAATCAATCACAGGGATAAGTATTGGGTTCTGGGTAGATTTTGGTGGTTAGATCTGCTTTAAAAGAAGACATCTATATAGACGTAGAGAGAGAAAGAGAGGTATTAAACAAACAAACACAAGTGTATGGGTGTTATATACTATTTGTTTCTCTATATGGAAACTCTACTCCTATCTCTCTCGATATTTGATTTGTCTTTTCTCTGCACACATCAGATCTCAAAACGCTTGTAGGAGAAACCACTGAGCCTCTCGTGCTAGATCTTCCGAATTGAAGATTGGTGTTTGTGTTTCATACCTTGCTATTTAGTCAGGTATTGCTTCTCAGTAGTTTTCATTTAATCAAGTTGGGGTTGGAATGAAGGTTAGGTAGTTTTGGCTAGGATGTATAGGTTTGACTTTTGTTTCGATTGATATTTTTGTTTTTTTTTAATACTTGGTTTTGTTTCCTGGGTAGCTCAAGAATTTGGAATACATGCATTTGTTTAATGTTTACGACCCATTTTGCTTTTTTTTTTTTTTGGGTCAGGAAGCAAGGATAATTATATTACTATTTAAAAAGATAAACTACACAGAAAACAACAAAATAGGACATAAACAAAGAACATAAGAAAAAAGGATTAGAACGAGAACCACGGACTTCAAGCCATAGTCCTTTCAGCCTATACCTACTTTTCTCTCTGAAGAGATGATTCTTGTAAGACTCATCGGTGGATTCTCCATTCACTATTCCGGCAGATCTTTCTTTTTCCTGAGGGTAGCAATTGTATGAGTCACCCCATTTGTTGACCTCTTCACTGCCCTAAAAATTATTTGGGGAAAATTTTTCGCATATCCCCATAGATCCCTTTGAATTTGCTCAATGCATTGGATTGTCGCCTCAGGGCCTTCATTGATGGAGTCAATGGTGATCTTTGAATCAGACTTCACCACCACTGCGTTGTACCCCTTTGTTACTGCTATTCTGCATGTTCTTAGGATTGCTGCCGCTTCTACTGCAAGTGGCGAGGATGCGGGTAGGGAATCAACTTCCCCATGGATTAAGATTCCGTCCATATCACGTACAACTACTCCAATGAATCCCTGTTTGGTCCTCTCCATGAAAGCTCCGTCACAATTGATTTTGTGCCACCCGTATGGAGGTCGATGCCAAACATTGTTATCACCTTTGTTGTCTCTATTTGAAGCCTCTGTTTTTTTCCTTTTGATTAAAAAACTCAGTAATCGCTTCTAACGCTCTATTGATGACATGTTTTTGGCCCAATCATTTTTAGCCTTTCATACAAACCATAGTAGGTAAGCCACCATTGACACTCTCCATTTGGGACCCAAGTCCCTTTTCTCTCATCTCCCAAATGGTCACTGATCCACTCCTTTATCCTTGTGATCTGGTATCTGTTAGTTGTAATTTCTAGGGGTGAGGTTCTCCGCATAACCATTGACCATGGACATAGTAGGAACATGTGTTGAAGAGTTTCGTCCTCTTCACCGTATATTGGGCATAAAGGATTATTGTTCGGCTTCCTTTTCCAGAAAATCCACCTTGTTGCCACCGCACCATTCGCTATGTTCCATAGGAAAGTTTTCACCTTTGGGTTCGCTCCAATGTTCCATATAGATTTCCATAGCTGCTTGGGCACTTGATAGGATGATGATGGCTTGCACAGATCTTGGATTTTTGATGAGATTTGGATCTGGGCATGGTATCCACTTTTAACTAAGTATTGGCCATTTTTGATAAAGGTCCATCTTAGTAAATTAGGCAGTTGTGTGTGACTAAAGGGAATAGCCAATATGGTAATAACAATTTCTGGTGGGAAGGAAGATGAGATGAGGGTTGAATTCCATCTTCTTGGGTTGTCTTGTAGGAGTTCATTGACTCTTTGGATGCTGCTATTTACTGCGTTGGTATTACTCTTAAACCCAAGGACCCAACAATCACTC